ACACGTGAACGTGCTTTAGAGCTTGGCACAGAGAGTAAAAAACAAAGCCTTTGCTGCTTTAAGGACAATGTATTTTTTTGTATTAGCTTAAGAGAACATGAAAGCTGTCAAAAGAGCTGGTATAGTTTTTCACGATCCCACAGAATTCATCTTGACCACAAGGAAATATCTGAAAACTGCATCAGAAAGATAGCATAGATCTTGTTTCTGAAAAAAAGAAAGCAATTGAGTCATTGAGTCAAATAGGAATACAATAGATTTTCTGGCATCGCTACTGAATATTTATATCAGTGATGAATGAGACTACAAACGAAATATTTTAACACGAAGCTTTGCCTTGTTAACTGCATGATATGCCAAAACACCACCTACTGTAAATCACAGGGTTTAAGACCAGTATTTCTTGTTTAAACATGCTACTTGTTCAGCAGAATCACTTGTGTGAACAAGCATACATTAATGTACACTAACTAAAGTAGTTTCACTATCCAACTGATAGAGTATAATTTAACAACCCCATTATCAGCATTGTAATTTTCAGACTGCTGAAATATATTTGTTGCAAATATTATACCTTTTAAACACTTTAACATTTGACGCTTCTGTCAGATAAAATGCAGGCAGGCACTCATGCATCGGCAAACACGCTTTTAATTGTATAAAGAAACTTTGTCAAATTATAGGTGTTTCCACACTTGATTTATGGACACCAAAATTAAAATCCCTATACCTTAAAGAAAACCCAACTCTTCATTACAACAGCAGCTTTCTTTCACATTTTTATCTTTTAATATTTGGAGTTTGCTTTTATACGCTGCTATTAGCTATCAATTCAGCGTGTCATTTCTGGCTGCCAAAACAGGAGAATATTTCTCTTTATAACTTGGTCAAATCTCAATACCTAGGTAAGACCCAAAGTAATCAATGTTTACTTAATGCTTCCACAAAACATTTGTGGGGAAAAAAAATTCTGCTAATTTAAGAGGTAGAGAACAACCATCACATAATTTAGTGCTTTTTGTTTCTAGGAAGGTCAGAAATGTTGTCATGTCTGCCAAAATATTTCTCTTCTTTCTACAAACTGTCAGAACCAAGAGTTTGGAGCGATACAATTTGAGAAGAAAAAAAAAAAATCCCTATTTTCATATGTATTTCTGTAGTGGTTCTGGTTCAATTTGTGTTTCAGACAGATCTCTGGAGGAGGAAGAGATTCCTATTTTATCTGAACAAATTCATGCATATCGTTCATTCATTCATTCTTACAGCACCTGTCAGTACAGCAGCAGCAAGTTTCACTTTCCTCAACTCAATACAACTCAAAATTACACAAAATCTCCACTAAAACTACCACTACTGAAAGTGATGCAGTTACACATTAGCATCTCTTCTCTAAAGAAATCTGTTCCCAAATCCCAGAAAAGAACAATTCATTTACAAGCTAAGCAAGTGATCTCAAATCAAATCCTGAAGCTTGTCAAAAACAGTATCTCCTAAACTATCAATAAGAAACTAATTTCAAAGCAGGGAACTCCCAATTCAAGTCATTGCTGCTAAAGTCCTGGCCTCTTTTACTTAGCTTTCTATCAAATTTGTTCTGAAATATTACAGACACCTTGAAAAAGAAATTAAAAGGAATAATGGCTGAAGATGGTCTCCTTGATGGGACCAAAGCATCAGACTCTATAGCGTTATCTGACTTTTGGCCACTGATTACAAAGCCAACGAAGTTCCTGAACTCAGCATTACATGAAGCTGAAAAGCTTACTGTGTAAAAGATTAAGACAAAACATTATACTTTCAGCTAATGAGGACAAGTGAACAGAACAACATTAGTATTGCTGAGTGAAGAGGTTGAAAATTCACTCCTCAAATATCATTTCTAAAAACATAGCAGATAAATTTTGTTATCCTTTTAACAGGCTGCTGTAATACTAGACTGGGATAAAACAGATCATGCTGCCCTCTTGTGCTAGATGTGCACAGAAATCAACCCTTTTATTCCTGCAAGTGACACATGAAGAGGAATATATAAAGCATTCACCGTGAAGTAGAAAACGTCCACGTTTTCCTCCTTACAGATACCTTAAGATGCATGCAGTCCCCTTACTGGGATATAGATAGAAGAGCAAAGGAAGTTTCAAGAGAGACAAATTCTACACGCCAAAAAATAAACAAGTTCTGTCAACAAATGCAGACAAGCCAGATGTGATAAAGCCCAAAATATAACCACTTAATCTCTTCCCATCAAGCTTTCACTATAGCTGTTTAGGTGACGCTGTATAGATATCTGCTGATAAATCTGAATTTCAGTCATAAATATCTGATGATTTTTTCTGAATGCTGGATAACACAATAAGCTTTAGTCACTCAGGATTATCAGCTCAATAGGGTTAGGTTAAGTGCTTAAGAAAGAAAGACAGACACAGTTGTTTATTAATATGGTTCTTCCAAAGAAAAACATACTTAAAACACTGATGTCTAACTATCCTTAGATCTATGCCAAATTACAGAAAGATGAAATCTGTGTACATACAAATATTTTTGGGTGGGAAGGGAGACAGGAGAGGGGTCCTCATATTCCTCTTCTGTTTCTGCTCTGTAATCCAGGTTCCAAAAATACATTCAAATTCTTATATCGTCTGGGTAAGATGCTCGTTACTATTCCCTTTACAACCTCCCCCTCCCTATATATTGCTAATGCAATCTGCAAAGAGAGATCTTGGGCTCATGCTAAACTGATTCACAAAGCATAATTTTTTTTAGAAATAAGTCATCTCATTTATTCACCACGACTGATTGGATCTACACTGTTGGGAGCTGACAGACATGTCATGATTCACCACGTATTTCCATTTCCTAGTGTCGACTCCCTGATGCTGCTCATTAGTCTGTTTCCCCAGTATGAACTATTGAGAGCTTGGGATGTCTATTTATTTAAGTTTCCTTCCTCAAATTTGGAACATAGATCACCATGTGTTCAAAATACTGATCGTGGCATTTTTTAATTGCTGATTATTTTTTGATAAATAAAACAGCAAAAGTCAGTTCAGTAAATGCTTCTGATAAGGACTTAGAGATGTCAAACAAATAGTGAGGACATGCTGGATGCTTAAATGACAGATCTGACACTGCAATATTAGCTTTGCTAATATGGGATATGATAACTAATAGTTTGGCTTGACTATAAATCACAACCCTGGAAAAAGGAGCCTTTAATAATTTTGATTTTTTTTTACTATGCCTTTCCTAGTAAGGCATATTAAAAGAAGGAAGGGAAAAAAAAAAAAAGGCTTCTACTTAAACAAACCTCACTCCAATGCAAAAAAAAAACCCTAGCACTTGAAGTTCTAAAAGATAAATACACAGTAAAAACCCATATAAATCAGACAATGAAACACAGATGTTAAAAACAGAATTTCAGAACAGCTACACGCTGCAGTTCTGAACAAGAGCATCGTCTCACATGTCATCTTTTCCCTTTTCTTTTTTTCCTTTTTCAAAAGATGTATAGATCAGAACAGCAGTACCTTTGCATGCTACCATGACCAAAAGAAATATGAAAGGAAAGAAAACCACGCACACCAAAGTTAATCTTCTATTATAAAATATCTGCTGATAAACAGAAACACACGTGTGTAAGTCACGACAGTGTGTGAATACCAGCGATAGACAGATTTTATGAATGTCACTTTCATAAAGCACTGCTAATTTGAGCTTCACAGTATGTTACAAAGCAAACTGTTATTTATTACTCTACATTGTCCCTTATATTTATTCTGTAGTTCTTAGTTTGTTATGATGAGTCAGGTTTATGGGCATTCTTACAAGATGATTATGTATTCCCTCAAAAAATACAGTTACTGCATATGCTGCACACACACAAAAAAACCAACCAAAACCCAAAAAAACAACCAACCAAGCAAAAAAAATACAGAGAGAGAAAAGAGGAAACCAGGAAAATCCCTGCCTATCTTACAACAAACCCCATCAGTACTACAATTTCTTCTGATATATGTGTTCTCACTAGCTCTCCACTAACCTGTCTCCTGAGCATATTACGACTTCACTTCTAAACCTTTGGCCTTGAATTTACACTACCACAGACTCACAGAGTACAAGTAGACCATATAACACAGCCTTAAACTTCTGCAGCTGTAGATTTTTTTTTTTTCAAAGGGGAAATTGTACATGTTTAATTCAGGCTATTATGAACATGAACCTTTTCTCTACATGACTATTTTTTTCCTGAAAATATTACTAATTTCTCTGAAACAATAAAGCCATCCCTATATGCCCTTACAATCATTAAACAGCTTCTGGAACTATGAGAACAAGCCTATGTTCCTTTTTTTTAAGAGAGTGAAGACCATCAGATTTCTGTTTTTCATGTAAGACTAGCTAGTAAATCAGTACCATCCCGCCTTCCCACTCTCTTCACTCTGCTCCACCTTCTCTCTTGCTCCTTTTGAAGAACCTAAGGATCTGGATTACAGTTTTAAATTGCATGCTTTATGCTTTTTTGCATTCTGGAAGCATAATAAGCTATACAGTTTCTCAAAACTGTGAATTACCACACATGCTTAAAATTATTTTTTAGAAGGGCAAATAATTGTTAATTGTTTGGATTAAGCTTTCGAAGTAAAGCACAAGAAAGGCATCCCCACAAAATGCATCATATACATTCAGCATATGGAAGACACCCCTGCGCAACTGAATCAGAACTGCAATGCAACTAGCAGGTCAACGTACAACACCAAAGCCACAGGTAATTCATTTTTCTGTAGACTGCATTTGAAGAAAGAAAGATCAACCATCAATAAGCAGTCAACATTCTGACTTTAAAAAGACCACACTGTTAAATATGTCAAGTAAAAGAAGCAAAAAACCCACACAAATGTGCAAAAATACTATAAAATCATAACTGCCCAGAAATAGTATAGTTAACATAATCAATGAGGTACATGAAATGTTAAGGGGCTTTTTTTTTCTATTAAACTTACCTATAGGATTTCTGTCAAAAAACAAGACAGGAGCTTTCAAAATGGATTGAAACATTTTGTTGTGCAAAGTCTGACCAGAATTAACAAGAACTTGAAACACCAGAAGACTTCTTATTATGCCAAACAGTATTGTAGCCACTGTTAAACCTGAAATTAAAAAAAACACGGACAGAGCATGCATACAGATACGGATCTTTCACAAGGAAAATAATCTAAAAAAAACCCTGAACTAAACCCAAATATTGTTGACTTTTGTGTATAGCAAGAATTAAGCCTAGGGACTCTGAGCGCAGAACACAGATATCTTATATTTGTTGCTAGCTTCAGTCACTAGCACATTGATTCAAACAATTTCTCTTTTCCAGTTTGAAAGAATTGATACTTTATAGAAATGTAGGAAATGTCTGTTAACTCACGAAAAAAAAAATCTGTATTAAAACCTTCTGCATAACAGCTCTGCTAAGAAATTCATTTCACAGTGCCGTGTATAATTGCGGCTTGCAGAGGTCACTGTGAAGATTCAACATTTGCCAGCAGGTATTAACCAAGTAATATATACATGGCTATTTAGAGACAACCTTGAGTTATTCTCAATCAGCCCAAACCACTTATGCCATTCCTTCCCTTGTAAACCACATCAAATCATTTAACTTATGTGTATTTCTTTAACATAGTATAAGATGCATCCCTTATGCATTGTGAAATAGGGGAATTCTAGGGAATTGGTCTGCAGACTGTCTCTTCTGGGCACATCTCCACCTACAAAACAGGGAAGCTACAGGGCAAAAGATGGAAACTAGGAATGATGAGATTGCTGCTGCTCTGTTTGCTGTGTGTAATTTCCAATGTGGCTGCCCAAATTCCCAGTCAATGATGGTGAACAGTGAGGGTGATAACCTTACAGTTGGCAGTGCTTCCAGGCTCTGGGTGACCTGCTCCAGAAACTAAGCATAGCCACCACAAGCCCAGATGCTCAGGCCTTGAGGACACCCTTAAGTTAGACCCTACCTACCAGCATAAAACATTGCCTATTCTAAACACAGGCTAAAACTGGATCCAATTCAGGTAAAGCTACAGTAACAGCGTAAAAGAATGAGGTTTTAAGTTATATGACGTGGTTACATCTATCAGTTGTTCCATTCTGCTTAATGCTGTATGCTCCTAGGATGCAAGAAAAAGTATCATTATTTCATTTGTCTCCTCACAGTTTATCACCCATGTTCTGTGTGGTGCTGTTTTTAAGGAAAAAGCAGGTGGCTGGGATGACAGCTTGTTTGCCTTGTCCTGACTGCTATATTCCAGGCCAGGTAAAAGAAAACAACTTTTCCAAGAGTAACTGCACGTACCCAAATGGGAAAGCTGGGTCACGCAAAAAGGGAACAAAAGAGGTACTAAGCAGGAGGTTGTGGCAGAGCCCATGTCTAACAGCAGTCTGTGAGAGTGACGGGAGGAAAAAGAGTATGTCCTGGGAACACCACGTACAACTTCACTCAGGCTTGGAAGCCACTGGAAGCTCCTGGCATGACCCTCACCAAACAAATCGCGTGAAAAGAGCTCATGGCTGGGGAGAAGGGGGAGGAACAAGACTTACTCTGAAGTCCTTCATCCAGTCTGTCTCGCCCCAAAGGTTTTTCCTTTCCCCATTTACGAGCTTACCACCCCAGTATGAAAGAGACAAGGACTCTTTGCATGCTCACTCTATAGAAAAGGTGTGAAATAGGTACCTCAGTTCTGGCCCATGGGGTTTCCCATTAACAGAAGTTTTACTCTTCTAAATCTTTGTCTTATGGAAGCAACTTGGACTAGGAACTACCATGGCTTTTTTTTTTTTTCCAAATATTGAGAATCAGAAATAAAAAAAGTTAACATTATTTTATGCAGTTTCAGAGGTTATAGAAAAAGGTAAGCTAGATTATGTTCCTCATATGAAATGCACTATCTTTGTAATT